TTTTCCCCCCCCCCCCCCTCTTTTATGATCTTCTGTCTCATTGCTGGTTTTGTGTATTCCATGTTCCTCTGTAGATGGGAGGAACTCATGCATAGTAAAGGATATAGGATAAGATACCAGCCAAGCTGAACTCTAGTACTGCTTACCTCTGTTTTATTTTCCCAATGTTGTTATGCATGCAGCCATGTGAAATTGCAGAAGTGCCTTCAGTGGAACAGGTGGAAGCATTCCTCTCATTTGGCAAGAGAGGCTAATGAGATGTGGTTTGAGAGATGTGACCTTAAAACAAAAAAATCATGTAACTGAAAAGTGCTGAAAAAATGTGTAGCTTTCTTCACAAGTCTTGAATTCACTTGCAGATGGGAAAACATCTGAGTCGTAAATTCCACCTGAACAACTTTTCTATAATGCTTTGTTTAAACAGTTTTGTGACTATCTTAAATGAGTAAATCTTGTAAAATACTTCAAAAGATAGCAAAGTTGTGCTTGATTAAAGCAGCCATAAACAGAAAAGACCCTTTGATTTGAAGTTGAGTTTTGAAACTTACAAATGGGAGATGGGAAGAGTGGGTTTCCTTGCAATCAGTCAGCAAGCAGCATGTGACAGAGTGTGTTAAACAGGACCAGGTTTAAGGAGCTGTGCAGAACCAGGCACAGTCTCACCTGACGTCTGCTGTTACTCCAGTATCAGAGTAGTGTGTGCTTCCTTCAGTCTGATCTTCTCTATAGAAAAGCTGTCCACTAGGGCAGTATATTATCTACATATTTTAAAAGGCACAGCATTAAAGTGACTTGTCTGTAGTCCCAGAAGACATCTGTTGTAGAGCTCAGAGTAGAACCCTGTTCTCTCAAATCTCATATTAGCATCTAGAGCTCTGTGCTACTACTTTTGAGCTATAGCTGTTTAAAATTTTCTGTGATGGACGTTTCAGCATTTGAATACAAGGCAACATTCACCTTGGTGATACCCTAGTTCTAAATTAGTCTTCATGTGCTGGAGTAATAGCATCCTATTTTTCAAATCGAGAGGGACACAGAGGTAAAATGATCTTGCAGTACATACAGCACAGGAAGTCCATAGTAGGATCAGAAATAGAAGCCAGATCTTAAGACTCTGTCATGTGCTGTTACCACATTACCTTCCTTTCTTGGTTATTTGTATGTCACATAAGAAAAATCAGCACTCCATATTAGTTTTTTTTGTTTGATTGCTCTTCCTGATTGAAATGGAAGAGGAAAATGTGCTCCAGTAAAGAAAACTGACCATTATCTTTTGTATGCAAGCCAGTATAAGGTGAATGAAATACATGCCCCTCACCTTTTGAAGGTGAGTAATGTTGTAGTCAGATAACTTTCTTTCCCCCTTTAGAAAGAACTAAGAGCTGGTGTGGGAAGTAACAGAAAAGGTAGCTTTAGTGAAGCATAGTCAAGTCATAAAATCTGTTTAACATTCTGACAATACATTGATGTTTCATACATTACTATGTATAAGTCAGTAAAAGAGGCTTTGACTCATGGTCCCATCTTCACAGATTCAAACACAAGCATCATGACTTATAAGAGGGGTTGATGGCGCAGTCCCAAATGTGGCTTAAATGTCTTTGGATGGCATCTGACTGAGGTATTTTAAGTGAGACTGTGGCTCCCAGCTTCTAGTGAGTACTAAACTCTGCAAGGCTGGGAGTTACAATTTTGCCTAAAGGCAAAATAGTGTTTGTTGTGGTAGACAGGATTTCCCGATTCTTTCTGGACTAAGATATCTGCTACACCAAGAGCTGGCGTTCCTGCTTTGTGTTGCAATGATCTACTGTTAAGTCTGGCTTATTTCTTTGAGAGGCAATGTTTTTCACTAGTTAATGTAGAAATATTATATATTATAGTCTACATGTAATCACCACTTGCTCGTTGAAGATGTGTTGTGGATATGCTGTTTGACTGCCACAGGTTCAGTCATGTCGAGGATTATCTGAGAGAGTAAATCGAATGGCCAAAGAAAACAAAGCAAGCCCTGGAAGGTTGATTCAAATGAAGAATTCTGAGTTTGGTGAAGTTAAACCAGCAGGACTTCTTTGAGAGCCGTTTACCTGAACAAAGTGGAAGCAATTGAGATGCAGACTGGTGGTATCAGTTACCTGCCCGGGAAGAGCTCTACAGCAAAAGAGCTGCAAAGCTAAACTGAACTGCATAAAGACAAGAATGCAAGGAAATTCCCATTTTCCTTTCTTTTGGTGTATTTTAAATTACTTTACAATTAACGTTCTTTTTAAAAATACACTATTATGTAACTCTGAGTTCTTTAGTATAGCATGATGTTGGGTGTTACCATTTTGCAATGCTCTAAAGAGGCTGAGAAATTAATAGAGTATGTGTTGTCTTCTGATTTCAGAAGTAATTCAGAACTGTGAATCTGCCTCCAGGGCTTTGTTTTGCGTGTGTGGTTTTGTTTAATGGTGTATTTAGTTGATATTGTTGCTGGAGAGTGTTCCTCTTACCCAGAATAACTTGTTCTTTAATAGTCTGGTTATTTCCAAGGAAATTCTTGCTTGTTTAGTAACAGTGAGGCAACAGGGAGTCTCAGCTAAAGAGGCAGTCTTAACTTGATTCCCATAAGTGTGTGTGCTTGGGGGTTGTGTGGTTTGGTGCTTTTTTTAAAAAAACAAAAAACAAAAAACAAAAAACAACTTTCCGTCCCAGCTGGCACTGTAACTAGAGCAAGTGAAAGAAAGAAATCTTTCTACTTTGATTACTTTATACCTAATAGTCTCTGGTACAGGCTGGGAGATCTTGTGAGGTTTTAAAGCTCTAGTTTTCCAGCCTAGTTGCCCTCCTGCTGTTATTGTTGGCTAAGTCTGTTGTAACTTAGTTTTCAATGCACTGCTTTGTGGTTTGTTTCACCTGGCTATTATCATTGGTCTGGTTGGTGGTCGAGTATAACCAGTCTTGTTGGCTGATTATTTACAGTGTCTTGTTTGTAGTCCTGAGCTGGAGAGCTCTGAAGTCTGTTTATGGTACTCGGTATTTTGGATGCTCAGACTACAGTGGTCTAACTGAAAGCATGGAAAAAAATCTGCTTTACTTGAGACTGTCTGAGAATTGACTGAATGTTCTTTAGTATTTCCGCCCCTCCTCCCACCAGTAGTAATTCTGTGTGTTAAGTGTCCTGTTTGCAGTGATAGAGGAAGTATGTGGTCCACTTTATCTAGCCTATGTTAAAATACCTCTCTTAATGGGTTATTTATTTATACCGAATATATTCAAGTCATGCTTCTGTAAAGTGCCCTATAATTCTTGGGAAGGCCCTGGATGTTTTTGGCTCTTCTTCCATGCTCGGTGGTGTTCTCTGGAAGTAATGTCTGTTTCACAGTATCTCACTAAGCAACCAAATAAAATAATCAAACCCAAACAAATAAACCCAACCCCCAACCAAATAATTTGTGTCAGAATCCGCCCCTCCATGTGCCTAAGTGGATTTAGAAGAAGGTACCACGTGCTTTTTGTGCACTTAGTCTAGTGTCTCAAACTTTGTCAACAAATCTTAAATGGCTGGTAATATTCTGCTTAGGTCTTACTTTCTTGCAAGTGTCCAGTGTTCAGTTGGAATATTTTATGCATTTTTCCTTCCCACATGGATTAGAAATGAGTATGGCTTTTGGAAATTTGATTACTTCTAACAGTGTTTAGACTTATGAGAAGAATGGATTAATTTATGGTCTTCAGAATGCACAAAGCATTGAAAGTCCCAGAGACCTGCAAAACCCCTCAATGGAAGCAACTTTCAAAAAGTTGCTACTTCAATTTTTACTTCTACATCTGGGGGAAAAAAAAAAGCCAAACCCACATATCTGCCATTGAGGTTATTTTCTAGGTGCAGGGGGATTTAATACATTTGTGGGACATCAGATTCAATTTAATTACAAGTCATTTGAAGGTTTAGGTATTAATGGAAAAGGAAGTGCGTGGTGTATGGTTTAGGAATTAATTTAGATCATAAAAGGTTGTCATATAAAAGCTTTCCTCCAACTTTCCTCAGCAGCAGAGAAGTTACGAAATTAAAAGTCTGCAGGATGCAAAAAATATTTCAGGAGGGAGATAGGATGAAACAAGATCCCAGGCAATGGCCTGCTCGTATTGGCATGACTCTGATTACAGAAGAGGAAGAAGAATAGTGGTGCTGTGTTTACACAAATGCCACTTACTAATCTTTCCTCCCCTTCACCTATTGTCCACACTCAGAAGTCTCTTTCTGCTGACAGCTGTGTAATTGGGAGGACAGGTTTCCTTAGCTCTGTAAAATAAGGTTCTTAATATTTGCACTGGTCAGCAGTAGAGGCTTGAATAGCTAGCAAGATCTTCTGACCAGAGAATGGGAGTATTAATTTATAGCTCTACATAAGGCAGATGATTTTTGGTGTTGCAAATGATGCTCATATAGCGCATGTTTTCAAATAGCAGTTTAAATTTTATGCCACTTAACCTCTCTGTGAAATACACAGTTATATTCCTGTTCTCTGAAGCTTGGCTGGTTAGATAGAAGGAAAGGGTTATCACTAGTGCTTAGCTGGGTAAAACTCCAGTCTCTCTTGATCTGAATGCTTAGATAGGGGAGGTCTTTTAAAAAGAAGACTTTGGTTTAGGTATATTTATATCTGCTTTAAGTTCCTTGGCTACCTGTTACAGAAACACAGAAGAGAAAGGAGGAGCTGGATCTTAAATATTTTCCAGTAGAGGTTTTTGAAATGTGACCATCTCAACTCTTTAGTTGTATAGCTTTGGGACACAACATTTTAGTAGTGAAGCAGAACATAAATAGACTGGAGATTGTTAATTTTACTGTTAAATGGGATTTAGGCATGGTGAGGGAGCATCTTGAATTTGGGGTATGTGGTCTTTTAGTGAACATAAGGAAGAACATGTGCATTTCAAAATAGGATTTATTATAAAACATGGTATTAATTTCAAGATCTCAATAAGTGTGATTAATAGTGATTATGTAATGCAGCTGATTTTCAGAATTATGTGTTTGAGTGAAGGTAGAAATACTTTTTACAGTGCCTGTGTAATGAAGCCTGAGTCCTTGTAGGTATAACCACAGAAATTCCTTTTTTCCTGACAGTCCAGACCTTCATCTGGGCAATGGTGATCACTCACCTACTGCTTGCTGTGGCAGTACAACTCAGAATGTGTAGGTTCCTTGCCTGGAGTGTAAAAGTTTGCTTCTGGATGAGGACAAACTTTATCATCAAATTAATATTTATAGGACTGTAGAAAGGAGTTCATATGTTGTGGTGGTGGCAATTCGAGAATGGAAGCTCATCAAACTTTCTCACTTTTCTGGTATACTTTGCCTGAAAACTGACTATTGATTTGTGTGAAGTAACTAAGCAGTACCTTTTTTCTTTCTCCTGCAGGCTGGTACGTGGTCTGGCAATTGTTTTTGTCTAAATTCAAATTCCTGAGAGAATTAATAGGCGATACGGGGTCCCAACAGGGAGACAACGAGCCTTCAGAGACTGACGCTGAACAAGAGACTCCACCCTCCCCTCAGAGAGGTAGACAGAAATCTGCTCGGCAGCGAAGGGCACCTACAGAAGACACAACTTAAAGTACTCCGTTGAACTTCTGACTAACTGAATGGTTAAGCACCTCTGCACTGTGGTGTTCAGTGGTTTGATCTTACTGAAAAACTGATTTTAAGAGTTAATAAATACCTGTGGACCTTTACTTCTGAACTACCAATGTATGCTACTTTGGTAGAGGTTCATGGAAGGCTTCAGCAGCAAGTCGTAGAATACTGGAAGAAAGGAGGGGTGGAGAGAAATCTCCATCACAAAAATGCTGAGCTGCTGTAGCTCCAATCTCTGCACACAGATTAAAAACAGGTCCTGGACCATAGGCTTAGCCTTTGCATTAGTGTGAATATAGTAAACATTTCAGACTTGAAATGGCTTCTAAATTATTTTTTTTCTTTACAGCACTAACTACATATAGTAAAATTGAATTTTATTTCCTTAGCTATATATGAATATATATTTTTTCTTCAGCCTTGAGAATGCATGTGAACTTGAAAAATGGTTGAAAGAATATCCTGCTTTAGAAAGTATTCTAAAGTGAGATTTTTAGTTATGTTCTTATATATATAAAGTATAAATGAAATATGAAAAATCAATATTAGATGCATATGATTTGGAGGTTTTTATTATCTCCTTAAAAAAAAGGAGTCGGGTGGTAAGACCTGTTTTCTTGGTTTTGGCATAAGAAGGGTTACAGGTTAAACAGTCCTGCTAGGTTTCTGTATGTTTTTCCTGAACCTTTTACTCGAAGTCCAACTTGTGTTGGAGAGGGGAAGGTGCCTGGGTTATGTACTCACTGGTTAGTATTCTGAAGTGTCATCTTTGGGTTTTGGATACTAAGCACTTCTTGAGTTCACTTCGTACACCTTTGAAACAGGTATATGGTACCTGACATAACTTATTTCCTGGAACCAGTTAAGGCATTCTGACCAATTTGGTAGACATCACTGTAACACTTTGATAGTGTTATAGCAATGACTTTGGTACCTCATGTTTGCTAGAGGACTTACTGATTTTTACTGGTAATAAGCAGTTGCTTCTGTTTTCTTTTAGAATGAGTTATACAGCTATTTTAACATTGCACTTCAGAACAAAGAGCTCCACTTCTCTTTAGCAACTCTGACGACTGATATACGAGATCTTTGGAAAGAGGAGGAACATGTATGTACCACCTCTGATGTGTGTATGAGAGAAGTACCGACAGGTCTTGTCATGAGCAGCTTCACTTTTCTCTCAAAGCTTGGATATGTGGTGGTGTTTGGATCATTGTTCCCTGTATAAAAACTTAGAGGACTACAAAATTGGTCTTGTACTTTTAGCTGTTAAGAAGTTTAAACCTTGACTTCCAAACTTGTGGTTTGATTCATTACAGGGCTAAAAGCAGTAACACCATTTTCATCAAGTAGGCCTACATCTGGGAAAAGAGCACTCTTCTAGTGCCTTTATTTTTTAATTTGTCACCTGTGAATACTGTTCAAAAGCTAATGAGAGCATTCACTTCATAAAACGATTTGGATGTTTCAGTATTAAAATACATAATATCAGCCCTGACCTTCCTCTGGAGTCTAACACTGGCATGTATGTATAAGCATGCTTTTTATTACAGGGTTACATTTTCAAGCATGGTTGGGCAGTGCTATGCCCATATCCTTTAAACACATGTAGAAATATTGATAGTCTCCTTCCTCTATTCCTTTTTCATTAGGGAATGCATAATGATGGTTTGGGTATTAATTAGTAAAATTCCCAGTTACTTAGACTGAGCAAAAGCAATCATATTCTATTCCCTGCTGCTTTCAGTTTTTTGCCTTGTACAACTCAATGTAACAATATTCTTGTGTCTGTATGTCTTGTCACGTGATGTGACTTTCAGTTTAGCAGTGCTGACTAAGTACTGGTACAGTTTTCTTACGAAGCGTCTTTAGCATCTTGAGCTTTGCTAATATAGGCTTATAAATAGAGATTATTTTTTGTACTGATGTAGGATATTGACACTCCACCGCACTTCACTTTTATCTAGACTTCAGTGCACAGAAAATGACAAAAGACTGATGCTTGTAGTATCCCTGGCTGAGATAAGTGACAGTTAACTCAGTCTCTGCTTCTAGTAGCTGTGAAGAAGTGTGAAGTTACAGCAATATACATAGCTAGTCAGGGTAGATTTAAAGGTGCAAGAATCAAGACTCTGTAGCAAGATAATGAAGGAAAAATCCATGTGGGTTTGAATGCTGACACTGATCAAATATGCAATAAGATGGACATGGAACATGTGGGTAGCTCATCTGTTCTAGCCAAACAACTTCCTTCTCCCTTCCTTGCTGTATGTAGGTGTACATTTCACCCCCCAAAGTTATTTTCAGGTTGGTTTTTTTTTTAAATGGTTGATGCTATTTTTTAATGTTGCTGTGACGTAGCTGCCAATAATGCTGTCTGCCTAGTGTATACCTTTAATGGTCTTACTAGTACCAGGCCAAATGTTTATATTATACAGTTTGGAAGAATCTTGGAATGCTGATGTTTTCTGTCAATGCATAACTTTTCCTGAAGGAGTCTAGTAAAATCTTTTGTACAGGACACTTCATGTAAACCTGTAAAGGCAAAGCTTTTATGTGTGAAAGCATACTTGTGATAAGACCTGGGTTGTGATTGCTGGCAGTCCAATATACTCAAGTCTCTGAATATTTTTACCAGTATACTTCTGAAATGTTACTGGTGGGTAAGCACTTAACTTTGATTTGACCCGTTCAAGTCTGAAACCTTATGAACACAACAGGTTACACAGTTGGTCTTGTTTTGTTTAGTGGGATCTATTTTTAAAACTGTTCATTGCCTTATTGTTGCAGCCATTCTCTTGAATGTATTTTGAGTACTTTTTTTACATAGATCACTTTTGTGCAGGGGCTGTGTAACTTTGAATAAGCAGTAATTACCTATGTTGTGACAGTTAATTGAAAACAGTTACTGCAATGAAGGCTGGAACAAACATGATGTAGACTGGTGGAAAAAATACAAAAGTTATTGCTACAATTTGAGTGGTGTAAAGAATTTTGTTCATGCTGAATTGCGTAATTCAGACCTGTTAGGGAGCCACTAAGGTTGTTATCGTGGTGATTTAATGTTTGCCCATGAGGCTAATTCTATGCAGCTCATCCACTAAGCACTGCTACTGTAGCTGTTTGCAATAAATGCCATATACTGTGCTGCAATTTGTGAGCAATTTGCTGCTTGATATCAGGTTTTACACTGTATTAGACCTGTGTATGTACTTCTGTTTTGTTTGGAAATGACCAGCATAAAGAATGTGTTTCATGTGGACACTTGCTTCTTCAGTGTTACGATACTGTACCTAAAGCTTCTGTGGTTGTCTGTTTTCATCATTAACTGTTCTTTCAACTGACTGCACAGATGACAAATAAAGTAACCAGACTTGATATGAGTATTTGACCCAAGTGGTTTTCTGACCTTTTTTTGAATGGGATTTTGTCTGTAGAGTAAGACTTCTTGTTTGAGTGTGCAATGCTACAAAAAAACCCTTGTCAAAAGTCATGTTCTAGGTGGTGTAATACCTACAGATGGCTTTGTTTTTTAAAGGGCAGGTTAGTTTATATTTTTTAGAGCAGTTGTTATTAAAGGTGGTCTGTCTTGTCTGCCTTATCCTTGAAAGCTGTACTTTCATTTTAGCAATTAAAGAAACCCAAACAACCCAACAAAAATCAAACCACCTTCGTGCTCCTTTGTTCTTGATGCTTTTAAGACTTGTTTTAGACTTCTTAGTTTTTCTAAAAGTAACAGTGTTGGTAAAGCAGGAAGTTCTTTTGGAAATGAAAATGTACAGAAACCAATGAACATGCTTAATCCCGGATTGCTTCTGTTAAGTAAAATGCATAAATTAAATCCTTATTGTTGAATAAGAGATTAAAAGAAGATTTGAGGGGGGAAAAAAAAAGCCCATAGATAAATATCTCTTTAATCTCGGGGAAATTAGCTGTTTTGCTATTGTCCTACTCTTCTCACTCGTAAAAGCTGGCTACAACCAGAGTACAGTAAGATGCCATGGCATTATGTACCTTGAGCACTTGGGTCTTTTGACCTCAAAGTTGTATGTGGGAGTGTGTGTTTGGGGGGGGTGCAGGTGTCAGGTGCTTATAAAGCACATGCTTGCTTTTCTCCTTTAGCACTGATCCCCAGGGAATGCTCCTTGGGCTGTTCCGGCAGAATGAATAGAGGTGCTGTTGTACAACTCTGTCCAAAGTTTTGCCAAAGGCTGTTTGAACTAATACTGCCCCTTCCCCACTTATGTGCTGTCAGGGGTCTCTGACAGTCATCTTGATCCTATGCAATTAAAATACACGAGCTTTGTAAAACACAGGGTTCCATCTTGCTTGGGTAACACTTATATGAAGATTTATTTTTTTTTTTTACGTGGGATTAGACTGGAAGTTGGCAGTGTGAATATGCTGGGGTTTATATTAAACCTTTAAGATGTGTATATAAGCTGTATTCTTCATGTAATTGGAAGCTCCTGTGTTCTGGGCATCTGTCTTATCCCTGTGGGTGTTTGTAATCAATAAAGTGCCTCAAAGCTTGATAGAATGGAGACTTACTCACTCTCCTTCACAGACTGCATGTCTGAGACTGGTCTAGGGCATGTGTTGACATGTGGTGATGTTGGACTTGTCTTCAGACAAAACGAAGGGCACAAAGGAGATGGGGATGGACAGAGCAGCATTGTGGAGTGAACAGAACTCACCAGTGCTAATGTCAGAGCTCTTGGGCAGTAGTCACCTTTGGAGGAGGCACAGCTAATGGAAATTAGGGAAGAGATCTCTTAAAGCAGGGAGACCTCTCATCAATGGAACTCAAACCAAGTTTTGGTTTGAACATCCTGGTTTTTGCAAATGGCGACACTGAGATTAAATTAATCTTGGCCTTTTTTTTTTTTCCTGCATTTCTATTCACTGGGCTTTTCAGCTTCCATAAGGGGAAGTAGATAAATAGAAATGTTCCTTTAACTTTAGCTCTGATAGTTGTGGGAGGGTGGGATAGGGCCGTACTGTGGTCACTGTAGCGTCATTGTTGAAGTATTGCACACATCCCGTTTGTGGTGTACCTCCCTCTGCTAGCAGGTGTGTGTACTGCCACAGGGACTCCTGAGTGCTGGCAGTGTACTTGAACTCAGAAGGGTAAGAAGGTGTCCTGTATTGGGGAGCTGTGGCCTCACAGTGGGTTACCTGTGAATCCCTCACACCTGGGTCTGTGTGTGCTGTACAGTTCACACAGCTGTCTTCCACCCCATTAAAGCTTCCAGCCTTCAACGCTGATGACGGCGGAGTTTTGAAATGAGAAGGTATGGGTAATCTGTGTCTTCAGAACCGCTGCAGAGGAGGATAGCTTGCTGTATGGTGTACCCTTTTCAACTCCTCTGTGCTAGTGGTTTAACATCTTGTATGGGGAGTCAAAAGCCTCCTGTCAGCAGATGTGTTTGTTCACAAATAACACTAGCTCTGTCTTGAAGCAAGTTTTGCTGCTACCATGTGCTAGGTTGAAGCACTGGGGCTGTGTTAACACTGAATTTTCATTACAGTCAAGTCTTGAACTTCCTAGCACAGTGCCCTGTTCCTCCTTACTTAAGGACCTAATCAGGAGCCTTCTGTCTTTCTGAGAACTTCTTGCTTATTTTGAGTTAATTGCAGTTCCTGTGTCTCTAATCAGCCCTGCAATGCCATCTGATCAGCTGTTAGCCTTTTCCGTGCTTAAAAATGTCAGGCAACATCCTTGCCATGATGGAACACGCCAAAATATGTCTTTTGCGCAGCACTTGTTTCCAACGTGAGCAGTTTCAGCTTTTAAGAACATGAAGAGTTGCTGCCTTCAAGTTCTGTAACACCCTGCTTTGAGAACGCCCTAGAAGAAACAGGAGATGCTGTCTGGGGATCTGGGCAGTTGTGAGAGGGCTGAGGTTGGTGCAGGGTGCTGGTGCCTGCCAGGCACGAACAGGCAGCTCTAAGAGGTGGTTACCTCCGGCACGCCAGGTCTGCAGCAACAGTTATGTTCTCCAGTGCTGATAGCCACAGAATCATCTATGTTGGAAAAGATCTTGAAGATCATCTAGTCCAACTGTTAACCTAGCACTGACAGTTCCAACTACACCACATCCCTCAGCACTGTTGACTTCTTAAACACCTCCAGGGATGGGGACTCCACCACCGCCCTGGGCAGCCCATTCCAACACCCAACAACCCGTTCTGTAAAGAAATGCTTCCTAATATCCAGTCTAAACCTTCCCTGCCACAACTTGAGGCCATTCCCTCTTGTCCTATCGCTTGTTACTTGGTTAAAGAGACTCATCCCCAGCTCTCTGCAACCTCCTTTCAGGTAGCTGTAGAGGGCGAGGAGGTCTCCCCTCAGCCTCCTCTTCTCCAGACTAAACACCCCCAGTTCCCTCAGCTGCTCCTTGTATGATGTGCTCCAGACCCTGCACCAGCTTTGTTGCCCTAAAGCCCTCAGTCTCATGGCTGGACAGCACTGCATCTGCTGTGGCTTCTGGTCCTGGCACAACTCGACCATTGTCCTCCCAGGAACGGAACTCGTGTGAGAGACTCTGGTGCCGGTGGGTTGGGGTCATGTTTGCAAACAGCAGGTACAGGTACTATTGCCGTGTGGGAAGATGCTCATCCCTCCTCTGGTCCAGGGGGCATGCCAAGGCAGAGGGCTGGGAATTCCACTCTGTGGCTCTGATTTGCAGCTCTTCTGACTTTGTGTTAGCCACTTTGTTTTCCAAAATCACGAGGTTTTTTTAAGGATTGCAGCATCTAATTACTAGTAATGACACTTTACTGCAGCCTTAGTTTTTTACACTTTTGAAATGATTCAGCTGCTGAGTGCCGACTGGGTTTTGCTTTTCTTTGTCCCTCTTCCAGGATGTCCTCACGTTTCTCCTGAACCTTGAACTGTCGGGCGGGGATAATGGAAAGTGCTTATCCGTGGACTGGCTGCTTAAACAGTTGAATTGCTTACAGTGCAGATCTATTCTGAAACCCCTGAGGTTTTTAGTATCCCAGCTGGGTAGAAAGGGAGCTTTGGGGCCGGCTTTCCCACCACTAGATGGCACGGGCGGCCAAGCTTTGCGGCTGGAGGGCCACCTCGCCGGAGAAACGTTCAGCGTCCATCAGGGCCAATGACGTTGAGCTGCTTTGCGTTTGCTGTCGCTGTTTTTAGTCATTCTGCTGGCGTTTAGCAGCGTTGGGAAGTACAAGTGCAGCTTCTTGTAGGGGCTGAGCCTGGTTCTTGTTTGGCTTTAAGCTTCACGCCAAAAAAGCTCTGGGACACGTGGAGTCCCGTGTTTAGGGGGACTTGCACGTTCCTCTGCGGCACAGGAGGAACACTGGATTTTGCTCTGTAAAAGAAAGCTGCCTCAAAAATTATCTGCCCCAAGAAGAGAGGTCTCAAAAGGGCCAAGAGGTATCTGCCTGTCTTACCTGTCACTATGCTTTAGAAAAAAAACCCCAAACATACCACAGCAGCACTTTTTCAGGTCTTAGGGTTACAAACATACTTTAACACTGTGAACAGCAGCTTATGGAATTGGTTGGTTTTGTGGGTTTTTTTCCCCAGTTGAATCGCGAGAGTAGTCTGTCTGCCATCCAGACCTCTTCAAAACTGGTTCACAACTGTGGTCCTCACACTTCTCATAGTTTGGCTGTAGAGTTGTGAGGTGAAATGCCATCCCATCAAAACTGGTCTAAATCCTGCTGGTTACTAAGTAGGTAAAACAAAGGCTCATGATCGGCTCACCTTAAAATCTTCTCCCCAAGTCTAATGTTAATATTGGACCAATCATTGTATTAATATTAATATTTATAATATTAAGAATGTAATATTAACAATCTAATATTAACTTCAGACTTGGGGACAGAGAGCCTGTGTCACATTTTCTTTGCATTAAAGAGTAAAATCCTTAAGAAAAGCAATGAGATAGATACAGTAGAAGCCTTGTTATCCTGCCAATGAATCTCTGTATTCAGGCTAAGGGAGAAGGACTTTGTTGCACAAGGCTTTGAAGAAACCTGTTTTCCCTTTATTGAGCCCCTCATTTATTACCTAAGAGTAACAGCGAGTCCCCATTAGCAAATCTAACATTTACACTTAGAGAGCTTCTGGCATTTAAAAAAAAAAAATTAATTACTTTTTCAGTCTGTGTGGCTTGCCAGGGAAACAAGGCTTATTCCAGCTGTGCGGGTGCGTGCCTGAGGAGTCCTTCGTCTACTGTTTTGGTCTGGAGGGCTACTGCTCTTGTGTTAACGATCCTTAGCACTTGGCGAGACCATCTGACTCAGAATAAATGCATTGGGGTTAAAAATGCGGCTGTCTGTAATCGCCTGGCGGGGCTGATGGTGACGCTGGCTCTTACACAGCTGCTCCACCTGGCAACCG